ATCTTCTCCATAGACCTTTACAATTTCTTTTAGATTTTTACTCTCCTCAATAAACATTTTTAAAAGAAAATTCTACCTTGGAAGGGAAATGTTAATTATTGAATATATATAGATAAGTTCCAAATTCTCACACAATAAATAGGCGCTGTTCTTAGATAGATAAATTAATGCACCTAGATTGGATATAATTACTGTTGTTTTTTTTAGAAAAAATACTTTCCCTCAAATCGTTCGTATTCAAACTTATCTCGTCACTTGGGTAAAAAAAAAGTTTTTGTCATAGAAGTTATTTTTTTTTTAAATAATTTCTGGGGAAAATATCCTAGACAAAAAAGGGAAATGTTGAGGATTGGTGGCTCTTTCCGAAATCTAGGTATTCCCTGCCTTACCCCCTGGTAAACATTACCATCGTTCTCCACTAATAAACGAACGTTGATTTTATAAAAACAACAATAAAGGGATTAAAAACAACAATAAAGGGACCATTTTGCAACAAAAAAGACGTAAACCAATTAAAAAAATGGTTATCGTTCCATTACCGCCGAATATTAATTTGGGTCCCTATATAATATGATATCCCTATATATGGTACCTCTCGAGAGATTTAGGTGTTGTAATTTGTGCTGAATATGAATATAAACTCAGGCTGTAATAATTTTTAAAATTTGTAAACAGCTTTGTATGTTCTGGTTTTGGTTATTCGGCGAGTCAATTAAAACAGCTTTAATTTAACATTTGAAATTCTGATTGGATAAAAAGTTTATATCGGGCCAACTTTTAACATAAGACCCAGCCGTATTATATATTTTTGAAGGTATTTGGCAACATTTTGCTAACGATGCGGTTGTAATTTCTGATTTACATTAGGCAATTAGAAGTTGTTCACCCCCGCTACAGGAATATTTGGAAAATTATTCAATATTTTTCATTGTTTTTGCAAAATTGCCATATAAAGCTGAATTAAAATTGTAGGTATTCTTTTTTTTTTTTTTGCAATTGAAGTTTTCCTGTGTTGAACAGCATTATTTTTTAACCTTCATAGTAGTATGGTAAATATATTGAGTTTTTTATTCCTGCTGTAACACCTCGAAATATCCATTTTACATCCCAAAGTATGTATGTTCTTGATCGATACAGGCCATATCCGCCTGTCTGATTGTCCATTTATAGATATAACTCTAGTTTCGAACGATTACAATTATTCTAATAGCTATTTCAGGTATTTTGGTATTAAGAGTTCTGCTGCTCTACGTCCTACTTTTTAAGGATAAGGAACACATCTTTGTACATCCTCCATATAACCTGAATTTATTTTGTTGATTTTAGCCTACATTGTTCAGCGGAATTAACTCAAAAATTGGAATTTGGTGTTAAAAATAGGTACTATATTCTCTGTTAGAAAATTATCTACATGCCCTCACATTTTCGTATAGACCCCTAACCATATTCCGTATTTTGATGATCAAAAATTCTAAAATTCTATGTTTGGTGTAAGTAATGGATACCAATTCCTATGACAGAAAATCCCCATGCAATGACACCTTCCAAAATTCGATAGTTCAAGGGTATTTTATTTTTCAAAATCTATGTTTGGAGTTGGCAGTGGGTAAAGCCTTATCCAGCTAATAATGAACCATATATGTCCAGGATATTTAAATAATTTTAACGGTTTTATTTTATTTATTTTATTTTTTTTTTTTTCTTTTTTTTAAGTATTTCAATTTCCTTCCAAATTCTGGAGGTCAATAAAAGGTCTGTCCTATCGAACTTAGCTGTTTTTTTTTTAATTAATAAACCCTCAAAGGATTTCAACATATCATTTCTACAAGATACATAAAAAATCCAATAAAATATTTTCAATTGGAAGATTTTCCATTTTCCTTCTGCATATAACCAGAATGCAGTATTTAGTAGAGGCCCCGTAACAAAAAAGTTTTTTGGGCTGATATTACATATATAGTAAGTAATAACCGTAAAATCTGATGAAGATATATATTGAAGCTACATAAAAATCTAAACCGATCTCGTTAAAATTTGGCAGAGGTATTTCTATACGATATATCATTATATTGTTGTGGAGTGCATATTACGCATGTGAGGGACTTTAACACCAAATCGGATGAAACATATATATTGGATTTTCAACAAAATTTAAAGCACTTGCTTTTAGGCTGAATTCCGTTGGAACTTTTATGTAAAAAAAAGAAAATTTCCACTAAATCGCAAATATTTATAAATCTGCTGAAATCACAAAAGAACAAAAATATCATTTCTGACCGATGCTCATATCCAAGATATCGCATATATAACAAAATTTCGACAGTCTCATACATAATGAAGGGTATTTTAGTTAGACCGCTTATAACTCAAGAACGGCTGGATGGATTCTGACAATTCTCACAAATTCGAAACGTCTTCTTGCCATAACCAGTAAAGAAAGTCCTAAAGTCGGGCGGGGCCGACTTTATGATACCCTACACCATTTTGCTAATTTAGTTGAGCTCCACTTAATAATTAAAAGTTTTTATGGGAGAATTCAATCATACACGCTATGATTATAATTATAATTTAAAATTCAAAGGACTAAATATTCCGAAGCATTTGTATCTCTTAAATTCGGACTTGCATTGCCCATTTGGTGCGAAATTAATTTGAAATCGGATAAAAATATATATGGGAACTATATCCAAATCTGAACCGATCTCGATAAAATTTGGCAAAGATATTTCTGAGCTGCATTTGATATATTTCCCTGAATATCGTTGTTACGGAGTGCATATTACGGCTGTGGGTAACAAATACAATAAATCGGATGAACAATATATATGGGAGCTATAACTATATCTGAACCGATCTTCACCAAATTTGGCATACTACCTTCTAGACTAAATTCAGTCGTATGTGCCAAATTCCATCCCATTTGGACAAATATTAGACGTTTGGTGCACAATAAATGGTAAATCGTACGAAGTTATATATGGGAGCTATATCCAAATCTGAACCGATCTCGATAAAATTGAGCAAAGGTATTTCTGAGCTGCATTTGATATATTTCCCCAAATATTGTTGTTACAGAGTGCATATTACGGCTGCGGAGGACAAAAATAACAAATCGGATGAACAATATATATGGGAGCTATAGCTATATCTGAACCGATTTCGATAAAATTTGGCATACTTATTTTCAGGCCTAATTTGGTTGTATGTGCGAAATTCCATATTATTCGGGCTGATATTACACGTTTGGTGCACAATAAAAGGCAAATCGGACGAAGATATATATGGGAGCTATATCTAAATTTTTACCGATTATCTCCAATTTCAATAGGGTTCGTCCTTGGGCCAAACAAATGTTGTTTGCAAAATTTCATCTCAATCGGATAATAAATGCGATCTGCATTTTGTTCACAAGAATACATGGACAGACGGACGGACGGACGGACAGACGGACTGACATGCATAAATCAACTCAGAAAGTGATTCTATGCAGATCATCAAAAGGAACTATGGGTCTATCTCGTTTCCTTTTGCCTGTTACAAACAAATGTACAAAGACATAATACCCTGACCACCTTGTGGTCTAGGGTATAAAAAAGTGAAAATTTTTTTTATTTTTGTCATATTTTTATCGCATGCGATTTTTTCATATTTGACTTACAATATTGAATTTTACGTTTGGTAATGTTTTTTCACCTTATAACACTATGTCAAGAAATTTAGCATGTGGATAGAATTAGGGTCAGAATTGAAGCCAATTGTTTTTCAAGACATATATTTAGGGGATCAAATGGACAAAAAATTAAAAATTTTCTTGATCTTGAAGAGGCTCTACAATTTTGCATTAAATCAAGGGTTAGCACAGCGTAGAGATGTAGCATTCGATCCGTGAATTATAGTTAGCGGGAAAAATGGACCACAATCAGCACGACATAAAGTGTAAATATAAGGTAAATAGTCCCGATTAAAAACCAAAGCCAACATATGTGCAAGACAGTTTAACATAATTTCAAATAATAGACTAAAATAAATGTGTTTGGACTAAGGAGCTTTTCCAATATATTATGGTGTTGTAGGGTATCACATGGTCGGCCCCGCATGTCTATAGCCTTTGCTTACTTGTTTTAAAGTATTTATGGGAAATTTTTTTAATTATATAAATGTATAGTATTCAATAATTCCAATATCCTCACATCCTTGAGTATTTTCAATTGTTAAATTTCCCATCTATGGATCGAAATAATCTGAATCGAACCCATTGAGAAAACATTCCAAAATTCCCATGTATGTTTTTGTAAGGGCCATGATGATCCCTCCCACTTTCCCTTGACCCTCTATTTTCTTAACTCCCAGCCCATTTTAAATACTGACTTCGAAAAAAAAGATATGCTACAGGCAAAAATGTTTAACAATATTTATTTATTTAGGTTTCTTTTCGGTTTTTTTTTTTTTTTAAATGAATTAAATAAAACGATTATATATATGTTGTATGTATAGAGATATATGTGGAAGAAAAAAAACAAAAGGTAGAGGGAAGAACATAACAAATGATGAATGTTTAAGTTATGCAAAATAATTACAATGTTTTACGTTTTTTTTTTTTTGATTGATTTGATTGTTGATTGATTCACATTTTAACATTAGTTTTGTTTTTAAACTTAAAAGCTATGATTTCGTTTTTCACTATACCCGTAAAACTTAAAAGCAAAAAAAAATAATGAACAATTTGTTTGTTGAAAATTAATGTGATTTGAATTTTTTCACAATATTTGAAATTTTAACAACAAAAAAAAAGAGAAAAGGAAAAACTTGTATATGTATGGGTGAGTAACTAAAATAAAATTAATTTGTTTAAATTAAACAATATAAGGTGGTCTACATACAATTGATTGTTGATTGGAAGAAAAAATGAACGTTTTCAGTTAGTTTTGAAAGTTTTGGTTGATTTTTTACGATACGATTTGAAAATGCTTTTTAATGAGCGGGTGGGTGTTGGATTGTAGGGGTTGGGGGGTTAGCTTTGATCTGTGGTGGAGTGAAACATAATTTAAGGCTGAGACACTGTTGGAGTTGTTGATGATGAACTGATTGATTGGTTGATTGGTTGATTTATTGTTGAGTTGGTGGTGGAGAGAGAGGAGTTTGGCTGATTGACTGACTGACTGACTGATTGGTTGGTTGATTGTTTGGTGATGATTGAGAAAAGAATTGAGGAGCGCTTGGTTTTGATGGAGTTTAATGAAGAAATTATTTTGATATTGTTTCTTTTTTTGAATTGTAAAGTAAAAACACATTTTTGATTATTTTTTTTTTAGAGGATTTTTATAAAGTTTTGTTTTTATTAGTTTAAAATATTTCTTTATTTATTTCATTTGTTTATAACTAAACATACAATTTTTAGGATTTGTTTTTTTTTAACACAATTTATATATTTACTTTTTTTCGAAAATTAAAATGCACTTAAAATTTAAACTAAAATCAAAGGAAAACTAATAAAAGAAAATGAATGAAAGAGGTTTTCAATTTTGTTTTTTTTTTTTCTAAAAATGTGATGTTTTTATAATGAAAAGTAGTTTTTTTAAAAAGATTATTTTAATAAGGTATCTCATTTGATAATTTTTTTTTAAATAGTTTTTTTTTATTTTTTTTTTTTTTTATTTAATAAAAATGGAAGAAATAGAATTAATTGTCTTTTATTTCGGTCTCTGAGTTTGAAATTATATACAAATAAAAACACAATTTCATTGCAGCATCATAGACTACATTGCACATGACTAAATATTTAGTTTTGTTTTTTTTTTATATTATATATATATATTTTTTTTAATATTTAATAATAATAGAATTTGTTTTTAAACATAAAACTAAGAAAACAAAAAAAAAATGGATTTTTTTTTTAATATAATAATAATAATATGGATAATAGTAATAAAAAAAAGTTTGTATGTGATGTAGTGTATGTATGTTTAACGCATTTAACTTAATTTAAAAAAAAAAGAAAAAAATGAAAAATAATAAATGGAAAAAATAAAAAAATATATATCAAATAGGTTTTTAGGTTCTTTAATGGAATATATACAAATATAGAGTAAAAAAGAGGAAAACCCATTATTGCTTTTCAAATTGGTGTTTGTTGCTGTGTATGTGTGTGTTTGATTTCAAAGAAAAGGCATCATAACAACAAAAATTTAGACTGGCATTCCTGGGATGACAAAGGGGCGTGGGGGGATGGGTGGTGGTAGAGCATGGAAGATAATATTATCAACAAATGGAAATTAGAACAACAACAGAAATCGTAAATCAAAAATCATAAGGAGAAGACGTTTGCCAAAACAAAAGAAACAAAATAAGCGCTTTCAAGTAGAATGTCAAAAAAAAAAACAATAAACAAAAAGAGTTGAACTCCACACAACACTCTTTTACCACATGTCTCCTTTCCAACTTGTCCTTTCGCCAGCCAATGGGCTTCAAAATATTATCTTTCTTGAACAAAAACCAAAAGCCACTCAGCTCTTTTCGCTCATCATCATCATCATCACATTTTTTTGGGACTAGCAGCACTCAACAAATTACAAAAAATAATTCCATTACAAAAAAAGCTGAAAAGAACACATTACTTAAAAATACTACGATTTTTTTAGGCACTCCATGAATTTGTTTTTTTTTTTCGTTTTTGTCATTCTCTCAACAGGATATCCAAAGGGGTTGTATTTGTTTTTAGTTATCTTCAACAGGATATATATGTATATGTCTGTGTGTTATGTTATTCATCACTAGCCTATGTTTACATTAAAATTACCTTGTTTTTTTCTTTTTTCTTTTTTGTTTTGCTTGAAGTTGGGATTTTGGGAGCCAGGTTCAATTGCACTTACAATCAAAATTCAAACTGAAAACGTTCATGATTCGTCGGGTTTTTGTATGGCGGTTTTTTTTTTTTGTAATCTGTAATTTGTTTTTCATTTTTATTTTCTACTAACTTAACAATTGTTTGAGAGTTTTAACATAATTATTTATCGTTTTTTTTTTTCTTTAAAATTTGGTGCTTTAAAAATTAACATTTATGTTAGGTTAACATTTTTGGCCAAAATTAACATAGGTAGCTAGCATTTATGGTAAATTTAGAGGTGTAAAAAATTTATAAAAATGTACAATAACTTAACATTTATCGCATTTTTACAGTCATGTTAAGTTAACATATATGGTATTAACATGGCTGCTAATTAACATGTCTGATAAATATTTCTAATTAAAAAAAAAATAATTTTACATATGCAAAAATTTAACATTTATGTTAATTTAACATTTATGCTAATTTAATAATTTAACATTTACGTTATGTTAACATTTATGTTAATTTAATTTTTAATGTTTATGTAAAACTAACATTTATGTTAATTTAACATTAATGTACATTTAGCATATATATTATTTTAACATTAATGTAAATTTAACATTTATGTTAATTTAATATTTATGTAAAATAACATTAACCATAACAAATTTTACATTTATATAATTTTAACATTAATGCAAATTCAACATTTATTTTAATTCAATATTTCTGTTAATTTAACATGTTTCCTAATTAAACATTTATGTTAAATTAACATTTATATTAATTTAACATTAATGAAAAAATTTTAACATTTTTGCTAATTTAACATATATCGATAAGTTATTAATGTAACCTTAACATTTATGTTAATTCAATATTTCTGTTAATTTAACATTTCTGCCATTTTAATATTTTTGCTAATTTAACATTTATGTTAATTTAACATATATTGATATAACATTAATGTAAATTCAACATTTATGTTAATTCAATATTTCTGTTAATTTAACATTTTTGCTAATTTAACATTTATATTAATTTATAATTAATATAAATTTAACATTTATTTTAATTCAATATTTCTGGCAATTTAACATTTTTGCTAATTTAACATTTTTGCCAATTTAACATTTTTGCTAATTTAACATTTATGTTAATTCAATAATTCTGCTAATTTTACATTTTTGTAAATGTTTTTTACATAGATATGCAAATTTGACAGAAATTTTAATTCAACATTTATGCCAAATTAACCTCTCCATTAAATTATCATTTCATATAATAAAGTAATAATGTTAAAATAACATGTATGCTAATTTAGCATTTATGTTAATTTAAAATTTCCGTGACATATATTTTTAACATTAATGTTTATATCATATATAGATAAATTTAACATTTCTAATTCATATTACTTGATGTTAAGTAAACATAACACTTCTGTTAACCTATAGCATTTGTTGAAAAATAACATCTTTTAACATGTATGCTTTACATTTGTGCTGAATTAACAATTCATGTTAAATTAGCATTTATGTCTGTTATATTAAGATTTTCTTTCATTCAACATTTATGCCAGGAACTTTATATTTCCATTAAGTTAAGAGCAATGTTAAACTACTACAAATGTCGTATCAACAAAAATGTTAAATGATAATTTTTTCTAAAAAAAAAAACATTTATGTTACTTTACATTATGTTAACTTAACATTTCTGCCGGTTATCATATGTGTTGATTAATTATGTTAAATTAGCATTTATGTTAAAATTATTTATATTTAAATAGCATTTATGTTAAATTTAAAACTTAGCATTGAAATGTTTATGTTACATTCATGTTATGTTTATATATGCTTTAATGTTATTTTAACATTTACATTCAGCAATGTTAAATGAAAAATGTTATCTTTTGCAGCTGTATAAAATTAGCATTTACTGTTAACTAACATTGTTTGTGTAGTAATTTTTGACTTTGTTTAAATAACCCTTTTTTACAATGTTCTTTACATATTCTTTAACCCTCATTCTGTATTCATGGCTGAAAATTGTTCAAATAATGAGTCCACAAACATAGTACCTTTTGAATCGCCAGGGGACTTTTGGAGACGCTCCAGGTCTTAAATTACGATTTTTTGACGGATATAAAATAAGTCAATTGGAAAGGAGTTGTTAAGAACTTTTTTGATATATCTTGCTCCATTTGACCCAATGGCCAGTCTTCAGACATTTCTGGATAACATGGATAATTTTTCTAAGAAAATCTATTAAGAAAAATTATGGATATATCTGAATCCCTTAAAACCATTTTGACCAATAGTAGTTTTGGGATATTTCGAGTCCCTGGAAATCGTTTCGTTTTATTAAAGTCCTCAAGAAAGAAAAAATCCAAATTTGAGTTAGTTTCCTAAATTAAGTTGCGTGGAAAACTTTGTTCTTGGTTCTATAATGCCCATAATAATTTTTGAAAATTTTTTAGGCAAATATCAACTAATTCTTTTTACCCAATTATTCAATTAATATTCTCAAAATATTTTTAGATAATTTTCTTCCAATATTTAAAAATGTCTACTTTGTTTTTAATACAGTCTGCGGGTTAATTTAAGTTTATTTTTTATATTTCAATGTCAATAGACATATAGCAGAATAATTAACAGAAATAAAATAATAATAATTTCCTATGTTAACTTAACATAACATGTTAACCTAACATTAATGTAAATTTTCTTTTACACCATTTGTCTAAACTGTAAGTGGTTGTTGTTTTGCTTTCTTTCTTCTAATTTAACAATGTTATTGATTTCGTTTTTTTTTTAAATTTTAATTTATTATTAGCTATAAAGTTAATGTTTAATAAAAATTATCATTATTATTAATTTTACGGTTTTTCTTTAATGTTTCTTTTTTGTTTATGTTATATATGTATATAATAATTATAATAATTAAAAAACAATTGAACAACAACATATAAAAACAAATTCCTGATTTCTGTTAACAAACAAAATTATTTATATTATTATTTTTTTTATTGTGTATCTATGTATGTTTGTATATGTATGCGTGTGATCTTTATTTAACAAAAACAAAAATTAAAAAAATAAACAGTATGTAACAGTATGTGTGTGTGTAAAAGAAAAAAGTGCTAAAACAATAACTATGGTACATGCGTTTCACTTGCTTATTGTTTTTTATTCAGGTTTTCTTGAGATTTTTTTGTATATTTATATGTGTATAACAAGAAGGAAAAAAAGAAAATATTTTTTATTTAGGGAAAACAAAACAACAAATTATTATTTATTTTTTTCTTTCAAAAGAGATGAAAAAATCTAAATAAAAAACAAATCATTGAAAAAGTCTGAATACATTACTCAGACATGCCTTCCATTGAGAGCAAGTCTCTCCACCATTAATGCACAGGGAGAGAAAGAACCAAACTTACTTTTGTGCTCACCAATGGCCTATGCAAAACTACGGCAAATGAAAATAAAAAGAGCATGCCTGTGAGTTTGTATATACTCTTTAGTTGTATACTCTTTCGTGTATACTCTTTCGTTGGAAGCCGCTAATAACTGATATACGTAACATACACATACGAATGTGTGAGTACCAATTGTAAATTAATTTGTTATTTATGTAAAATTTACATGTGAACCGCAGAGAAAAAAAGAGAGAGAAATACAATCGAAAATTAGCAATTAACTGGTTGTTTCGTATTATTGACTTCTAATAATCATTGATCGACTCAATTAGTCAAGAACCTCTCTTCTCTCCATTATTTTCATTAAAGTCCGATATGAAATGACTGATGAGTGAATTGAAAAATAATTCTCACTAGCAATGCTGATAACTATTAAAATTATTGCGGCTATCTCTATCTCTCTCGCCATTCTTAGTCAACGGACAGGATGTAATAAACGGATTCCTGTGGCCATAAATTCGGATAATGATAGCTAGGAGTAATTGAGCCGTAATTTAAGACCATTCTTTTTTATTTTTATAAAAACGAAGAACACTCTTAAAATCAAAAAATTAGCGACCTTTTGATATATTTAAAATTCCTCCCAAATATTTGACACTTCTCTTGGGGAGACCCTTCAATGATTTGCTTTTTAAATATATTTTTTAAATTCAATATTAGCATCCATCCATCCTTTTTTGGTTTAAAAAAAAAAACAATTTTTTTACAGGACAAGAATGAAAAAGTTATTTAAAATAACAAAAAAAAATTAAAAAGAAAAATACAACACCTTAAAAAAATATCCTCTATTTGCCTTGAATTTTTTGTTTTGCTTCGGTTGTTGTTGTTGTTGGTATTACAGTACAATTATTATTGTCTTTAAATATCTTATTTTTTTCAAACATTGAAAGTTTTGTTATGTTTTCTCTCTTGGTATTTGATTAAAAATCTTTTTTTTGTCATTAATTGTAGCTACTTAAAAAAGGAAAATTGTTTTTTTGTTTTTATTTTTTCTTTCATTATATATATTTAAACTATATGGCTTAATGTTAATAACAATTTATTATTATTAGGTTTGTTGTTAGTTTTCCTTTTTTATTTCCATTTTTTTTTAAATTTTCTTCTTTCTTTGTTGTTGTTGTTGCTATATGTAATGTGTCTGTGTCTCTGTCTGTGTGTTTTGTTTTCGCTAAATATTTTCAATAGTTTCAACATTAATGTCAATTAAATGGAGCTTTAAATATGGTTTCTTCTTAAGAGAGAGAGAGAGAGGGGAAAGGGAGGGAGAGCAGAAATTGGTTTGCTTGTTTTGAAAATATCTCTTGTATATATATCTTGGTTTTTTGTATTTTTCTTTTAAATATATTTTATAAGGTTATTGGTTTTGTATTTTCTTGTTGTTGTTTTTTAAGAAGATTTTTTTCGTTTTATCCATTTTTCTTTTCCTTTGTAGTTTCCTTAAAAAAATTACGTTTTTAACACTTTTTTCGTTTTTTTCTTATTACTTTGTTTGAATTTACATTATTTAGTTTTTCTTTTTTTCTTATTTGTTTTAATTTAATTTTAAAAATTATTAATTGTATATTTTACTAAGTTTTTGTTTTGTTTATTTTATTTAATTATTTGTTAATTTATTTAGGGGTTTTCATTTTACTTATTTAAATGTAATGAAAGTAATCTGTTGTTGTTGGTTTTGTTTTTTGTTTTTCATTTTCCCTTCTCTGGGGGAGGGGTGATTTTGGGAAACAGGTGAAACAGTTCCAGTTGGGGAAAAAAGTTAGGAAAACTGGTTTTTGTAAGTTTTTAAAACTTTTCGATTTTTTTTTCTCTTGGTTTTGTTTTGAATTTAATTATTTAGTTATTATAACAATAATTAAAATATCTAATCATTCAAGAACATTATTTGTTATAGTTTCTTATTTTTTCGGTTTTTCATTGTGAACAATTGTGTATTGATGTGAAAAGGGGTGGCTGGAAGAGGGGGGGGGGGGGGTGGGGTTTGCTGAGGAACAAGACTAATAAACAGATTTAGTTCTTTGTCGGTTTTTGGTTGTAACGCTCTTTAGAAATATATATTTATATTTGTTGTTGTTGTTGGTTTTTTGTTAATGAAGAAAGGATTTCTTTTGTTTGTTGATGATAGTTGTTGTTGTGGTGTTGGTGAATTGGTGTTTTAACTATTTGCAAAAAAATTTGATTTTTTCTTTTTTGTTTTGTTTTGCTTTGTATTTTTTTTTTTTTTTTCTTTTAATTCACAACAGTGGCTAATGGAATTTGTCGCGCTCTTTTTGTCTCCTCCTCGTTGATTTTCTGTTCAATTAGATATTGAGCTTTAGCAATGGCACTCGGTTGACCAGTTATGGTTACAATACGATTTCTGGTGCCAGGGGCGAAAATGCCTTTCTTTGAAATTTGCACATTAGCACCCGAAATATGTTGGATCTCAACTAAACAACGACCATTGGGACCTGGATATTTTTTGTTTTTGGTTTGCAATATAGGTATGTATATTATATGTTTTCAAAATTTCCCAAAATGGTATTTTTTATGATTTTGGTATTTGTATGAAATATAAAAAGAAGAAGAAATACATATTAATATTTATATATAAAATTGTTTTTGCATATGTAAGATAAGAATATAAGGGTTAAGGGGTTAATTTGTTATCGATATATAATATTATAAAGCAATAAATGGAATAAAAATTAATTTTAATCAAAATAACACCAATGTAGTACACAAACAAAAAATATGTAAAGGAATGTTTGTTAATTTTTGTGTCTTTTTTTGTGTAATATACTAAAATTAAAAACTCTTAACTAAGAACTAAATATTTTGAGGTATATATATTTTGTTTTTTTTTTTTTTCAAAAAAAAAGTAAATTAAAATGCAAATCCATATTTGCCTTCTAATATTTATTTTTATTTATTTTAAAGTATTTTAACCAATTGCACTAGCATTCTGCCTTTTTTAGGTCTCTCGAAAAAGACCCAAGACAAGTTTTTTGTATTTATGTATCATTTAAAAATAATAATAATAGACAACTAAAACTAAAATAAAATGTTTTTTTAATGTGTATTGTAGTATGTAAATTAGAGAACCATAAAAATTAGTTTGAATATATGAAAAACACCAAGAGTGCTTAAAAATATAAGACAATATAAAGAAATGATTTTTTGCACACAGTAATTATAAACTTTTGCTAAGATGAAGAGGTTCTTGGTGGCATTCAAATGTTTATAACTCAAATTAAAAACTAATTTTTTTTGCTGCCTTTATTTGAATTTTTTAATTAAATGTAGTATTCAAATCCTAAATTTCCCATAATTTCAGAATAAATAATTTTGTATATTCGAACTTCGAACAAATCCTTCCCTATAGTCGGAGTCGTAGCAAAGACATAGAAGTATACAGATGGGGTAAGGCAGAGTCAAAATATGGCAACCCTGTAAAAAATACCTCTGTTGATTTAAACCGCTATAATATTACTCATTTTTTTGAAAAGGTCTATGGAATAGAAGTTTGAAACCACATTTTTGGATTTTTCAAAGTTTTATTTGTCGTTCGTTTTGGTGGTTTTTATGTTAACATGCCTCTGTCATGATCTGTTATTCTATGTATTATAGACACAAACCGTTTGCTCAAAATGTCATTTTTCTAGTCTTTACCATTTTAGGTTTTTGGTCGTAGTCTACTTATTTTACACCAGTCTTAGTCGGTAGCTCTAACCAATGTAGGGGGGAAAGGACCAAATTTCAAATAATATTCCGACTGGATGCCCATGATTCCTACCTCGACTCCGGAAGGTCTTAAAAAGAGCCCAAATAAAATGGGGTAATGTTGGTATAATTTCTTTCCTCAAGTTTCACCTTTTATTTTTATTAAGTATTTCTCGTTTGAGCTGAAAATCAAAAATTCGCGCAACATGGAAGCTGTCACAAATGTTTTCAACATCATTCTATGGATAAAACCAACGACTGTTTGATATTCCACATTTATCTCATTTATTTTTGAAAATTTACGTTGGGCGCCAATTTTATGTTTTTTACACAAAACCAAAATTCTACTTGTAATGTAATTTACATTGTAATACAAAATAGACAAATGTATTTTTCCTGACTAAGATTATTGTTTCAGTTTTATTGCATGCGTTTCGGAAGATTACGTTGGGCGCCAATTTGTTTAAAAATGTCTATAAAGCCATCAATTAGTAAATGAATTGTATTGAGACTTGAAATTGTAATGCGAAATAGGTAAATGATTTTTTTCACGGACTTATGTTTACATTCCACTTTGAAAGCTATATTTTTATTTTGGAAATTTATATTGGACGCCAATTTTGGTTTTTCCATGAAAATCCATAATTTAACCGTAAATGAAATATATATTGAGTGCCCTGTAACTTGAAAATATAATACAAAATATTGAAGTAATATTTTCAGGGACTAAAGTTGATATTCCCCTTTTATATCATGTATTTTGTGCATTTACATTGGTCGCCAATTTTTGGATTTCCATGGGAACCCAAAATTCTACAAATATATTATATTGAGCCAAATCGGTCTTAAGAATTGTATATAAAATACGAAAGCGATTTCTTTGTGAATTAAGGTTGATTTTCCACATTCATGGCTTGTATTTGGAGATTTTACGTTGGGCGCCAATTTGTCTAAATTTTTCAATGACTTTATCATATATTATATATTCTTAAAAAATTTTCTCTATTCCGAAATTCTACAACCTCAAAATTTTAATAAAAAAAGTTATATATATTATGAAAATTATATATTTTTAATTTTCATTGGGCGCCAATTTGTTTGAAAATTAAAAAAATAACAAATATTAATTAATTGACATTCTCCATAGAAAGCTAAAAATTTCAACAAAAAAGAAGCTTGCATTTGGCATCATTTGACTTGAATATATATGAAAAACTGACTTGTATATATATTTAACAAATTTATGTTGGTCGCTACCTTTTTTAAATTTTTATAAATTAAAAAATTTATTAAATTTTCCATTGAAACACAAAGTTTCATCGTAAATAAAAAATATTAGGGGACAATGTATATCTCATAAAAATTAAAAAGCTCAAACAGAAATATTGTTCTTCATTGAAACATTATTTGTGGAAAAAATCAATTCCTTATTCGTGGGCGAAATTTATTTGGGCGCCAAGTAGTTTTATGAGTGAAACTCCAGATTTCTTAATTAATTTATAAAAATATCTGTTTAATATTTAAAAAAATCAGGCAACGATACATTTCTTGTTGGGCGCCAATGAAATATTTAAAGAAGGTTTTTTTTTGAACAAAAGAAAACAATTATTTTGTCATAGTATAACAATCCTGAAATTGCACATTTCGCACCTCATCCCTTTCTTGTATCCATCAAATTAATTGATTTGGAATCATAATTATAGTTACCAAGAAATATTTTTTTTATAAAAAAGGAAATTATTGGATTTTTTTTTAATTAAACCCAATAATTTACCTTGAGCGCCAATAAAACATTTAAAGAAAGAATGTTTCGAAAATTAGCATTGTTTTGTAATTGTGGTTGAATAATTATTATGAAATCACACATTTCATATATCATCCTTTAATTTTACTTTGATTTGAAATCATATACATTTTAGCAAAAAAAATGTTTACTTTTTCTTTTTTTTTTTTTTTTTTTTGAAAATTTGTGTTTTTTTCCTTATCAAAATAAAATAATTTCCTTGTCAACATTATATGTTGTCTGAAATTTCCCGGTTTTTGTTTTAATATTCCATCGAATTTACGTTGGGCGCCACTTTTCAAAATCAAATGTTCGCATTTCTCCTGAGCATATTATATTTCAAAATAGAAAAAAAAATATGTATTACACACAAGAGATTTGTTTAAAAATTATAAACTATATTTGTTTAAAAATGTTTGTTTTACAATTGTATTTTTTTTTTTCGATAAGAAATTATAACATTTATTTTGAGTTAGATATTTTTTTTTAGCAACCATTCTTGCCTACCAAGAATCCTCTCTATAACAACAAACAAAAATCGTGTGCCTATAACTAAATATGTGTGCAAATTTCTATGAATCCTTAAAAAAAAGAGTAGTGCTTAAAAGATGTATGTGTGTGTGCGTTTATGAAAAAGAAACATATGTAAAGTTAATGATATAAAGCTGCGCCCTACCCCTATTTAATAAAATGTCAACTATTTTTTTCTGAAATGCTACATGTCGGCCAGCCTTCTCGCTAATCCCCTGAAACTAAAGGTTATAATGTAAAATGAAAACAAAAAATGCAGAAATATTATAAAAAAATAAATGTTTGCTGCTCCTTGTGGTGGCTGTGGGTGGGTGTACTATTTTACAAGTGTTTTGCATTATGAAAAAAAATGTTTACGGATTTATGTATTTGTGAGCGTTGGGAGGTATTGGAAAAATCATCACAGTTCTTTTGTTTTTTGCAAATTATGTATTATGTTGGTATGGCTGTGAATAAATGTATCAAAATATTACTAAACTGAAAAAAATCGCAATGATGTGTATATTTTTGAGTAATAAACATTTGGGCGCCATTTTTAAGATATTGGAAATTTATTGCACGAAAAACTTATAAATTGATTTTTGAACGATGGCTTGAAATATTAGAAATGTATCCAATCAATAATCCTTAATTTAATTTTGCGATCCTTGAGAATGTTTTTCACTTGAAACGGAGGCTATGTGATTTTAGATTTAAAATTTCTGGACTTAAATTCATATTTCATCTTCAAAAAGTCTGCTTTGGGCGCCACAAACTGTGACAACCAAATATAATTATTCTATAGCCACCCTGTACTTCTGACGTGATATTTTTTGTGCAGCCCACATAAAACGCCAAAAACATCTTCTTAGGTTAACGTTTGTTTAGACTACCAATTCCCTCCTGGCTCTTCATAAAAATAGCCTCCAAGTCATCTATGAAGATTTGCTTTAAGTCAAGTTGGACGCCAAAATAGCACAACAATTAATATTTAAAGACAAAAATATTATATATTTGGCGTAAATGAAATCCACATTGGGCGCCAAATGTTGTTTTTAACCCAAAATCGAAATTCCAAAATTAGGTGCTAAACAGCACAAAAGCTCTAATTCGTTACATGAGAATTAGGAATAGAGAAATGCAATGCAGTTCACCTTGAGAATTGTTAACGAAATGTTTTCGTAAAACATGCATTGAGCGCCAACATTTAAAAATCCAATTGAACTGATTGAAAAGAAGATTCGTGAACAGTGCCATATTCATCTATTCAAGGGCAGAGTCTTACGTTGGGCGCCATTTATAAAAAAAAATACTTAAATTGAAATATGGATATGCTATAAAATGTAGCTCATCTATTCAAGGGCAGAGTCTTACGTTGGGCGCCATTTATAAAAAAAATACTTAATTTGAAATATGGAATTTTTAAAACGTCCAATTGAACTAGAACTAGGTTCTCTTCAGTTCGTGAAAACGAAATTCTGACTTTGAAAAGGTGTAATTTTCAACACCTTTCTTCGGGCCGCCTCTAGGTCGCCTATTAAAACGCCCCTTAGGCCGCAACTAAAAATGCCTAAAAATATTTCCTCCAGATTATCTACAGAGACGGTCTCAGGCCGCCAATAAAAATTCCTTCCAGATGGTCTAAAAAAATTTCCTCCAAATCGCCTTAATGACTCCCTTCAGGTCCCCTACAAAGACTTCATTCGGGTTGCCAAGAAAAATATTTATTTTAAATATGCAATTTTAAATTTTCTCCAGTTTGCCTACAGGGACGCCCTCAGGTCACCACTAAAAATTCCTTCAACAAAAAAAAAAAGTCTTCCTTCGAGTTCCCATTTAAATAAATATATCAGCTCGCTTATAACAATTTCTTTCAGATGGCCAATAAGTGCAATTAAGACTTCTGTCAGGTACCCCCTAACGACTACCTTTCACTCGCCTATTAAGATTCTCTTCAAGTCCTCTTCCTCGTCTTCTTTCATATTTTATATAAATTATCCACTCTGCAATATAATCTACTTGTAAGTTGTGGATATGGGCGCCATATCCACTAAACTAAGAAGTAATTCTCAATATATTAGCATTTCAAAATTGGGAATTTGAGACATGGGTTGGAAACAGTAAGTCTTACATTGGGCGCCATTGAATTAAAAAAAATTAATTTTATAAAAAATGGAAAAATATGAACAATATTACCTTGGGCGCCATATCCCCAAGAAAAAAAAGTAAGTCTCATTACATTTAAGTTTTCATAACTGCTCATTTTAAGATGCGTATTCCAATAAAAATCCAGGACATGGACCTGTGTCAAAAAAAGTCAAAATTTTAATTTTCTTTTGGTCGCCATATCCCCAAGAGAAAAAGTAATTCGCATTACATTTATGTTTTCATGACTTTTCCTATTCCTAGGAAAAAAAGCATGGAACCACAACTCCTACATTGGGCGCCAGTGTCTTAAAAAACGTTGGGCGCCAGATAATGACAATAGCATTTTCAAGACTAAGTTTTAAGGTAAACCTCGCAATTACTTCCAGTTCAATTTTTTTCCATTTTGATTTCGTTAGGCTATTGGAAAATTTATACTGGGTTACGGGCCAATTGGGCATAATTACATTGGATTGCATACGCACATCGACAATATTTCGTGCTTTTGTGAGTGACACACGTTGGGCGCCAAATGTTTTATGTGTAAATAAAATTTAAAAATAAATGTAAATGATTCTATCGAAAATGTTTCAAAGGCTGGCCTCGACTCCTGGGAAAATAGCAAATTCGAATTGGGATATCGAGATTTGGGAATAGTAACAATATACAATATGTTTGAGAGAATTGATTGATTGATTGATTGTATGAGAAAGGCGGCAAGAAATTGACTAGATTTACAACAACAATAATAAGGGAAAAAGCAAGTATTTTGAAAGCCACTATTACTGGTGAATTGGTTTGTGATTTGCTTTTTGAGACACTAAATGAAACATTCACAAGAAATGTAAGGTATGGGAATAGAACATATGGTAAATACACAAAACCTAAGTAGAGACAAAAATATTAAGCACTACCAAGGCCAGGAAGACCTAGGCCTGTATTATTATTATTTTTTTTCTTTAAACCTAAAATAATAAAAATTAAAAACTAAATTGCAACTGGCATTTTCATATAGAAACTTTCAAATCCATAGATTGTTTTTTTTTTTTTTTTTTTGTAATTTTTTAAATGTTTTATATATTTTTGTTTAAGGTTATTTACTGTGAATTATGAGCAAAAAAAAAAAAGAAATTTCGAAAAAATATAGTATATATGAATAAACTGAAAATCTATATACAATATGGGTGTATTTTTTGTTTAATAACTATATAAGTATAATATAAAATTATATATGGAAAGTGGTGGTGGTGTGTGCGGGTGTTCTAAATACCAAAAAAGTTTATGCGCATAAGGAATGTTTTGTGAAGTATGGTTGGTTGGTGTTTCTTGTTTTTGTTTCTTTTTTTGTTTTCTTGGTAAAAAGGAAGGCACTTTTTTAGGCACTTTAAGAAAATTAAAATATATATAGAAGGAATGTTTACACTTACAGCAACAAAACTCAAAACATACAAGTAATTGTGTGTGTATATATATGTATATAAGAACTCAATTAATAAACAATGGTTAAAAATTAAAAAAAAAATATTAAACAAATTTGTATAAATAAACCATAATGTTATACAAAACTAGACTAAGTGATTTTTTGCGTGGTAAGTTTAATTAATAAAACAAAAAATAATAAAGGAACAACAAAACATTGTTTTTGAATTTAATCTTTTTGAAGGATAATTTTAAAAATTTTGCAAATTTAAATGCTTTTCTTTCCAATTCTTTGTTGCAATGTTTTGTTGGTCCCTTAACGAAAAAAATTTCTCATAAGGCATTTGGAAGAACAAACAAATTAGGATTGTCGAAGAACAAATAAAAATTAGCATTCGTTTTGTGCTTTTTTTTAAGAGAAAAAAAGGGGGAATTTGAAGTTTGTTTTGTTTTTGTTTTTAGTAAGGATAATAAAAACGTGGCCCACCTAAAATAGCGCCAACAATCACTTCAGGAATTTCCACATTCTTTGTATCCTTGGCACTTAAATCACCCGGTGTGGGACTCTTGCTAATACCGCTCAGGGCATGTGCACCAGTTGCCGCATTCAAAGTGGGCGCTGTGGTCACCGTGCCGGTGGCAGCGGTCAATCCAAAACTATTGTTATTCAGCGATACCGGTGTGGCGGCTTGACCAGCATTTGAATTTAAATGACGGAATGGATCAAATTGGGCTGCAGCAGCATCCAGCTGTTGTTGAGTGGGTCGATTAGCTGCGGCGGCCGCAACAGCAGCACTGTATTGCTCTAAATTAACTTGACCGACAGCACCGAATACATTGCCCGCAGTAGCGGCCGTAGCAGCGGCAGCGGTCTGTTGATCCAAGGCGGAGACACCCAAATAGCTACCAAGTGTTGTGTGGGCACCGTTGGTGTGTTGCAGGCCAACACCCATGCCGAGTACACCGTATTTGGCTAAAACACCTAATGCGGCACAGACCTCTGTGGTGGCTGTTTCAGAATAACCTGAACTGCGTAAAGCGACCTGTGAAAGGGCAGAAGAAGGGCAAGTTAATATAAATTTGAAAAAAAAATTATAAAAATCTATACGGGAAAGACCTCCAGAGGTCTTCCATACAGCGAATACTATACAGAGGTCTTCCATACAGAGAAGACGCCCTAGAGGTCTTCCATACAGAGAAAACTCTCCAGAGCTCTTCCATACAAAGAAGACCTTCTAGAGTTCTTCCATACAGAAAGTACCCTGCAGAGGTCTTAAATACAGACAAGACCCTCCAGAGGTCTTTCATACAAAGAATACCTTCTAGAGTTCTTCCATACAGAAAATACCCTCTAGAGACCATCTAAACAGAGATCTTCTATACAGAGAAGACCCTCTAGACGCCTTCTATACAGAGAAGACCCTATAGAGGAATTCTATACAGAGAAGACCCTCAAGAGGCTTTATATACAGAGAAGGTCCTCTAGAGGCCTTCTATACAGAGAAGACCCTCTAGAGGCCTTCTATACAGAGAAGACCCTCTAGAGGCCTTCTATACAGAGAAGACCCTCTAGAGGCCTTCTATACAGAGAAGACCCTCTAGAGGCCTTCTATACAGAGAAGACCCTCTAGAGGCCTTCTATACAGAGAAGACCCTCTAGAGGCCTTCTATACAGAGAAGACCCTCTAGAGGCCTTCTATACAGAGAAGACCCTCTAGAGGCCTTCTATACAGAGAAGACCCTATAGAGGAATTCTATACAGAGAAGACCCTCAAGAGGCTTTATATACAGAGAAGGTCCTCTAGAGGCCTTCTATAAAGAGAAGACCCTCTAGAGGCCTTCTATAAAGAGAAGATCCTCTAGAGGTCGTCCATACAAAGAAGACCTTCTAAAGGCCTTTTCTACATAGGAGACCACCTATACATGGAAGACCCTCTGAAAACCTTTTATACAAAGGAGACCCTTTTGGAGGTCCTACATACAAAGAAGACCCTTTCGGAGGTCTTCCATACGGAGAAGGCCCCTGTTGAAGGTCTTCTATACAGCATTTCCATCTCACCTTAATGTGTTCCAACAATTGTGTGGCTAAAGCTAGATTTGGTGCCGGATTTGGTGAGCTCAAATTCAACGACAAATTAATGCCCGTTCCATTGACTAGAAGACCTGCTGCTGTACCAGCACCACCAATGGTTGTGCCCAATGTCGAATTCAACGATGCTGTACTCGAATTGATGGCATTCTGATTTGTGGCATATGGCGAACCAGTTGGATTGAAATTGGCCACTGGCCCATTAATATCAGCATATGAGACATTAAGACACGTTCCCGATGAGGGATCTTCGACGATTTTCGATAGGATCATTTTGCAGGCATTCTTGTTGTTCTCCTTGTCACCGATGATGGTGATGCAACGTTCTTGCAATGATATATCTTTTGGTTTCTGTGAGATTTGCACATACGAACCGCTCTCCTCCTTGACCTGCTTAATATAAGCACCACCCTTGCCGATAATCATGCCGGCCGTGGAATTGGGCACCAAAATTTTCACTTGCTTATCACGCTCCTGGCTCTGTTTGCTTTCGGCATCGAGAATTTTCGAGGTTAGATCTGGTTTTTCGCGGATCTTGTCCATGACAAAGTCCAGGACGGCCATGATGCCGTCAACGGTGCCGGTAATGAGGCAAACGCGTTCGGTAGTGCCTGGAGAAAATTAAAAAAAAAATTAGAAGTGACTTCTTGGCCGAATATGCCAGTGTCCCCCTTACCTGGATAGAAATCATGGGATTTGGACATTTTAACACGAGCACCGGTGTCCTTTTGCAAAGATGCAATTGTTTCGCCACCCTTGCCGATAATGGCCCCTGAGGCCACGGCTGGAACTAGAATCTTCATGTGGTAGGTTGAGTCCCCTGTAAGAGAAAAAGAATTTCATAAAAAGAAAATTAGAAAATTTAAAATGGAAAATTTTGAAATACATTTACAAGAATAGGAAATGTTTTGGATTTTTTTTTTTAATAATTCTGTTGTTTTTTAAAAAGGTTAAAAATTAAAAATAATAACAGTTTATTTTCTTCTCGCAGTTTAGTTGAGAAATTTTGCTCTCTCTCAGTCTCTCGCTTTTTATGCTTTTCATGAAGATGAAGAATTATGGCAATGAAAATGAATTATGACAGCATTTTTGGAATGGAATGGAATGAATCATGCCAAAGCTAAGTGAAATGAGTTATTTAAGATGTCTAGCCGTAAATAAATGCTGTGCTACAATTTAAAATTATATTTCAATTTTGTGGTAACCTTAAAAAGCAGTTTCGAATTGTATTTTCGGTCAATTTCAAATGAAACTAATCATGCCCTTAGTGCGAGAAATATTTAAAAAAAAATCAAGAAGCCCGTAAAGTAAGCTGTACTTTTGAAAGACCTACTGCGCCATCTATTGTTGACTAATATCATCAAGTTATTATCATGCGGTGTCAAGGATATTCTTTAGCAAAGATGCAATCCATTTGTAAAGAAAGTTAATTTCTTCATACAGGCCGACCACAGTGGGTCAATATCACCACCAATGCTATGTTACACGAATTGGATAAAGATAATAAATAAGGATTAGATTATGAAAAAAAGACCTAAGCATACATTGGGATGTACCCAATCTAGGGCGGAGCAGTTCCGCCCATTCGTACATATTTAAACATTTTAGATTTCTTGAAATAAATTCATTGTATAAAGAGTGAGATGAAAAAATTGCAACCAATTCAGACTGCTGTCATTTATAAGCCACTCGTCCGACAGCTGTTAAAATTATTCCGGTGACAGCTCATTATATTGTTTACACGCATACAAAAACATTTTGCAGAGAATTTTAAAGAAAACATTTTATTCGTGATGGAATGGAAAAGCGTGATAGTGTGATTTCTTTATATTTGGATATCTTTGGAGCACTCCAGCATTTAAATGTGAATAAATCTTTTGTGTCTCGTACCATCGCTCGTTACCGTGATACTGGTAGCGTAGCCCGACGTATTCGGAAAATATTGAAAAACGAGGGCGGGGTAAAGCCATTGAAATTCCAAAAAGTGCAAGAACTTACACCGCAACGGAAAGAAAATATACTCAAAAGATCTCAAGAGTTGCTTCGCTTGGCCGAAAGTGGTGAAGTGTCGAATTTGGGTTTCTCCGATGAGAAAACATTCGTTGTCCAGCAGTTTGTAAACAAACAAAATCATCGTGTTTACTTGTTCAGATGGCCACCAGAACTCAAGCGCCAGCCACGGTGATGGTGTTGGCCGCCATGAATCAAAATTTAAAAAAAAATGTTTGGAATGTTACGTTATTTTGGCATACTTCGCAAAGAAGAAAAATACATTTTCGTCCGGCACAATATTTAATATTTTCCAAAAAAAAAAAAAAAATTCTGACAAAATCAAATCCATTTTATCTAGCACTGACATCCCTGTTCTAGTATAGACACTGCCTTTCAAAAGAAGTTGCAGGGTGAATAAATAAAGGAGATTTTTGGAGTTGGTGTATGTCTTGTCTATCAAAATGGACCCAGTTAGATTTTATGATCAATAGATGGCGCATGAGTTTTACAGATACTGTACAAAATTTATTATTATTTTTGTTAAGATGCTGTAATTTAAATTACTGTACAAATCTGAAGGTGGACTAAAGCCAAAAAATATAAATTTAGAAAAAAATCCGTTAAACTGACAAAAAATATTGTCTTGCAATAATTTTTTTTTACAAAAAGCAAAAGAGAAATTATTATCTTATGCAAAAGAAGAAGAAAGAAAACAGAAAACATCTAAGACACATAAAACAAATGATAACAAAAATGTGAAAAAATGTTGTTAAGGATTAAGGGGATGCTGTTGTGCTGGGGGATACTCAAAGCGATTAGATTCATTTGGTAAAGTATTAATATTTATATATATATATATATATATATATATATATATATATATATATATATATATATATATATATATATATATATATATATATATATTTTTTTTTTTTTTTTTTTTTTAAATAAATTGGTATTTTTGGCAATTTAATTTTAGGTGGGGAATTTCTTTATTTCTTATTATTTTTTCGAATCAAATCAATTGCGTTTTTTATTAAAAAATTAACAACTAACCTTGAATTCAACTAATTCATTAAAAAATATTGAAATTTCTCTAAAAGTTTTATTTTATAAATGGGAACTTTTTTCAAGAAGAGGGCATTTTTCCTATGATTTTTAAATAATAATTTTTACTAATAAAATTTCATTCAAAATTTAAATTTCTTCGCCCGTGAAATATTTATTTATATTTGATATGATATATTTGTTATATATTATTAAGTACAAAAAGTTATTGAAAGTTTCCCATGTACAAATTTTTCATTGAATTAATCTTGAGATTTAATCTGTTTTAATTTTTTTATATATTTTTAAAACCTTTTTAGTTAAGACATATCAAACTTTTGAATAATATTTTAATCTAGACATTGTTATATATTTCGGTATTTTCTCTAAGCAAAATTTTTTAAATCTGAATTGAAAACAAAAAAGAAAGTTAATAACCAATGGAAGCTTTATATGAAAAATATAAATTATTGGGTCTATACCAAATGAATAAATAGCATTGAGTTTAAGTGTAGAATAAATAAGGTCTTCTAGAGATGTTGTTAAAAAACCTAAGAAATTTGTTTAATTTTTTTTTTGATTTTTTTATTTTTTTATTACGACATTTTTGTTAGTAGCTTATTAATTTCAATTTATTTGTATTTCTTTATTTTTTTTTTATAAAATGTAAAAAACGTATTTTAAATTATGCTCGAAATGTGTAATTTTGCAATTATTTTATTTAATTTTTTTATTCATTTATTTAGTTTTTGTAATTAATTTTAAATATATATATATACCTTATTCCGATTTTTATTAATATATTTATTTCTGTTTTTTTATTTATGAATTTATTTTTATTAATTTTACTTTTATTTATTATTATATTATTATTATTATTATTATTATTATTATTATTATTATATATTATTATTATTATTATATTACTTTAATTATTTTTATTATTATTATTATTATTATTATTATTATTATTATTTTTTTTTAATTATTATTATTATTATTTAATTTATTTTTTATTGTTTTCTATTTTACTAAATTTTAATTTGTTTATTATTTTTTATATTGATGTTTCAAATTTTTTATTTTGTGTTCGTAATGGGTACTACTTCCTATGACAGAAAATTTCCTGTACGGATCCACGTCTTTGTATTGCCCCTATACGAGTATGACGGTACCTCCCAACATTCGTTATTTTAATTGTTTTATCTAGATTTTTCCACCGCTATAGCAGATATTTGGAATAGAGGTACATGCTTTCGGAATTATTCAAATTATGGCGGTGTTTTATCGGAATATTTTTCCATTTTAAAGTTCCTTCCAAATTGTGGACCGACTGCCTTTTTTTAATATACCCCCCCATCATAGCATGGAGCGTATATTAAGTTTGTAACACATCGAAATATACATTTTAGACTCTACAAAGTATATATATTCTTGATCAGCATAAAATTCTAAGTGGAAATCACTCTAGCTTCCGAACGAAATGAAGTAGATTGATAAAAGTTTACTCAAATGTACATTGTGTCTGCAAGATTTTTGATATTGAAAACGGGTCATGTACGTCCATGTCTTCGTATAGCCTCCATATAACGGTACCTCCCGAAATTCGGTACTTTAATGATTTTAGCGACATTATTCACCGGAATTGTTTCAAATTTGGTGTTTGAAGTTCGTAATGGATACTACAGCCTATAACAGAAAATTGTCTGTGTAGGTTCACGTCTTCGTATAGCAAAACTTAAATAAAAAAAATCGGTACCTTATTCACCGATTTTATTTTATTCAAGTTTTGCATTTGAGTATCGTAATGGTTTATGACATTCGATATTTTTAAGATTTTTACAGACTTTTTAACGGATTTTATTTTTTTTTTAAAAATTGCCAAAATCCTTCCAAATGGTGGAAAGTATTCAAAGTTCGGCCCGGCCTTATTATTTTATGTTTTAATTAATTTTTTTCACAATTTATCCTTATTTTATTTATTTTTTATTTTTATTGTTTTTTATACATTTTTGTATTCATATACTTAGTTGTCGTATAGTTAGTCATTAATTAATGGACTTTTATGATTTTTTTATGAAGTTAAAATTATTTAATAATTTTATAGTTGTATTCCCATATTTATAAGTTGTTGATTTTTTAACTAACGAAGTAAATATTTTTTATTTTTTTAATTATATTTAAATTTAATTTTTTTGTATTAATTATAATTATATAAATATAATTTTTTGTTTTTTTTTTCATTAGTATAATTATTAGTTGTTTAGTTAATTATTAATTAATATATTTTTATGACATTTTGATTAATTAGGCAATAAACTTATTTAATTTAATTATTTTATTAAAAATTGATTATTTTTCGATTTAAAAAATGTATTAAATTTAATTTTTCATTTAATTAATTATAAACGAGTTTTTTAACAATTTTTAGTTAAATATAGAATATTTTTTAATTTGTTGTTACTTTTTATTTTTTTATGTTTCAACTACTTTATTTTTTATTATAAATTTTTGTTTTACTTTCTTTTATTATTATATATATATATATTTTATTATTTATATTTATGTTTTTTATTAAAAATCAAATATTTTTTTTTGCAATTATAAGTTATTTCCAGATTATTATTAAAATCTCTAGAAGACCACACACACATATATATTTGGGAATTGTTTTTTTTTATTAAAGTTTATTATGTTTAATTTTTTTTATCAGCTTTGGTTTATGACTTCCTCCAAAGAATCGCATAACTTAAACTTCAATAAAACAAAAAAACACTC